GTCACCAGGTTTCAGTTTGTGCCAGCACTCACTGTCCTGAGGTATTGAAGGCTGGGGAGCTGGAAGTGAACCCTGGTCTCCAGCAAAAGAACTGGAGAAATGTGCCAAGTGATTTGAATAGAAATTGATGTGGCAGTAATTTTTCTTCCTTTTTTCTTTTCTTTTCTTTTTTAAAATTTTGGAAGTTGCTCCTGTTTTCAAGGCTGTGCTCACCTCAGAAAACAGGCTGGGGAATAAGGGAATAGTGCTTCACATGGCAGATTGTCATTGCTTTGGTGGCACTAAATAAACAGAATAACGAAGGCAGCAAGTGCATTAGGGCAGGGGAAATAAGGAAGCATTCTAACCTCTCACACCAATAGGCTGCAGGGCACATAATGAGCTCTGCTGCACTTGTGTGAACTGAGGGAGGTGTTCTTTCCCACCTTCCTCCTGATGGCACATCTACCCGTGCCCTGTGGAGGGCAGTCAGCCAGGGTTAGCAGCAGATAACCCTGTCTTATTAAGTGCAGAGTCTGATTTTAGGGGTTTTTTACTGGGTCTGATTGGAGGATTTTATTGTCCCTAATTGTTGACTAAGTAATGTTCAGGCCATCAACTTGGGGTTGGCTGGGGTCTTCCCAGAGCTGGGATAGAAACTGTCCCTTATCTTCATTTTAGCTGCAGCTGCTCAGGTGAGGAGCCAGAGCTGGAGAATATAGCCCTTAAGGAAAACAACCCCCCTTTCTTCCTATAAACGCTGGCAGTAACTATAAACAAGTGAATCATGAGCTGTCTGCAATACCCATAGCTTTGCATCTATACAGGCACAGGCTTGGCATGGCAGATAGGCTAGTGGTGGGAATTTCCTTCCTCTCAGACATTTCTCAGCTCTTTCTGAGACTGCCTGCCTGCTCCTGCTGCTTTCTGCACCGTATGTACTGCTTTGGATTAACTGAATAGTGATAGTGAATATATTATTATTAATATATTAATAGGATTGTGAGTCTCTTTGAGACAAATAGCATGCAGAAAGTACTTTAAGGTCATCTGTTTCTAAGCAGTCCCCCAAAGTCCATGGGTGTGTGTTTTTGGTTTTTGGGTTTTGGTGGTTTTTTTTTGTTTTTTTTTTTTTTGTAGGAAGAGACAGTAGAAAACAAGGTATTTCACTTCTTTATAAATAGTTAACTCCAGCAGTGACTGAACAAAATTGACTAATCAGAGCTCCCTTAGGAGGGCCAGCAAGAATGGGAAAGGTACCACTGTTCATACCAGAAGAGTAGGTTTTATAGCTTCATCACCTGCTAGAAACACTTAAAGTGAGAAATATTTTCCTGCCTGGTCCCCATCCCTGTGAGCAGCCCTTCCCAACCATCGCTGCCTTTGGAGGTGCTTACAGGTTTTGATTTCTTTGCCTCAGGGACACTTGAATTTAGAGGCTGTGCTTGCCACGCAGCAGATGCTGTTCCCTGGGGGGATTTTGCTGCTTGGTGTTTAAATTACACTGCCATTGCAACACAATTAGGTATGTTTTTTTGGTGGGTTTTTTGTGGGGTTTTTTTTTTTTTTTAAAAAAATTTTGTTTTTTTTTTTTTTTTTTTTTTTTTTTTTGGTGGTGTTTTCCTGGTCTCAAGAGTCCAGGGGTGTTTCTGCCGAACTGCCCTGCTTACCTGTTCCAATATTTTGGGCACTGATGGTGCTGCAGGAATCCGAAGCTGCCGTGTATATTTTTTCTGTGAAAGGGTGATGTGTGCCTTTGCAAACACTGCCTTTCTGACTGAAATATTCTGGTTATATAGCACCCCTTCAAAGCCAGTTACATTAAATCAGTGGAGGTACTTTAATTTCAGATGTGCGTTTCTGTTGTAAGCTGTATGTGATGTGCAGGGATCTTTTTTAAAATCTTAGCCTTCAAAAACTGATGGGGAGTACGGGGGGTTTATTGAGCCTCTCTTTGCAAGCTTAGGCTGTAAATACTTTGTACACTAATTACAGAATTCGGCTCGAAAATACAATATATCTTGAAGACATTGCCGGGAAATACCCAGTGACGTGATGCCTATCTCAGTTATTCACGGTGTGCCCAGTTCCCCGGTTTGTGGCTGCTGTGTTGCAAACCTGAGGTGAAGCAGCAGATTTACATTTCGCGAATGACCCCGTAAATGCCGCATTAATTCCATGTACCTGGTTAGTGGAGGAGGGAAGGGAAGGGGTTTGGTGACACTTGGAGCGGGAGGCAGAGCCGAGCTCCGAGCCTGGAGCTCCCTTTAGCGACGGCGGCGGGCAGTGCACGGCTCCCTCACGCGGCCCGGCTCCCGCCCAGCCCCGCTGCGGCCCGGGAGCCCAGCTTCCCTCAGAACCCCGCTATCGGCAGGGCTGCAGTCTTCAAAGGAATCTCACCAGGAGAGGGGAGAGATGCCAGCGCTCCCAATTCTGTTCCTGGTAACAGGAGACCAGCCGGTCCTTCCTTTAAAATGCTCTGGCCAGGCAAAAGGCCGGACTCCTTCAGAGGCTGCAAGTCTGGACTTGAACCCCCCAGCTGAGTTGGTTCTCCTGCTTGATTTGGAAAGCGAGTGCCTCTTTATCGCCACGCTCTTAGAGCTGGGACTGGTGGGACTTGAGATGACTTTTTCTTTGGTCAAGTGCATTACATAAACAAGCCTGCTGTTGTTAACTGTGGGCTCCAGCCAAAGCCAGTGGAAAACCTCAGGACCCAAGAATTTATCTGTGGGGAGTAAAAGAGGCCAAATGACCTCTTTTGCCCATCAAAAACAAAAAATGGATGACAGGGAAGGAATAGATGCCTCTCTCCACAGAGTGTAGCCTGTCACTACAAGGACACCCTGTGGGACTGACATCTCACGTGCTGAGTGTGTCACTTGCTGGCTTTACCTTCCCTTTCCCCCCTGGCTGAGGTGGCTGCACTTGGCCATTTGGAGCATTGTGTCCTCTGGTGTCTTTCCCTCTTTTGACCCCACAGGCAGACTGTGCTGCCTTCTCTGGAAAAGCAGGTTATGGTGGTTCTCTCTGGCCTGTGAGCTTCCCAGAGCCCCTGCTTTGGGAGTGGGTGCTGTCAAGCCTCTCCTGTACCCCATGCCTGGCAGTGTGGTGAGAGAGGACAGATAACAGGTCTATACTCCAGCCCGTTCCCAAAAACTTGTGTACATCACATCCTTGATGATGTAGGGTCCTTTTGTTATAGCACTGCAATCTGTGGCATCATCAGTTTTCAAGGAAGCAATATGTAGCTCTGATAATAAATATTCAGAGGGCACTGATAAGTTTCTTCTTTGAAAATATATCTTTATAAGGAGACTCTAAGTCCAGTCTTCATATCCATTCAGTACAGATAAATGAAAACCAGTGTCTGCACTGCTGATGGGTGGAAATAAAAGGTTTGATTTCAGTATCAACTGGTTGTCTGGGCTGCAAAAGATTTTCATTGCCATCCTTCACAGTGATGTGATGGAAAAGTCCTGATAACATGCAGAGATATTAGAGTAAAATGCAAATTTGAACCCTCTATCTTATAGTATTTGGTGTGCTTCAGAAGAAGATAAAGAATGAATGGTTTCCTCAGGAGCAGGAGCCAGTGTCCAGCTTTGGAGCAGAATCTAAATCTAAGTCAGATCTTGTGTTGCTTGGCTTCCAGCACACCTCAGGGTAGACAAGTTGCATGGGGTAGCACAATCAACAGATGGGCAGGAAATCAGCAGCAGGTCTAATTGGTGACTTTCAAAGATGAGGAGCTGGCAGGAGAGAGCGAGGGATAAGATCCTGAACACGTTGCAGCTTTTTATAAACTTGTTTTGTTTAATTCCATGATTTTGAACATATGGTCCATCAACTTCTCACAAGCCTTTAAATTTCATTTCCTAGTGTGACTGAGAGATAGTTATTAATGCAGGATGGCGGGAGGTGTGTTCAAAAATCCGTTTATCAGATAATGGGATTAACACGAATACCTCCCCAGCCCTGCTTTAGAAACTTACTTCTAAATCTACATATTCAGCGACTACAGCAGCCACATTACAGCACAACAAATGAAAGTGCTGGACAAGCATTTTAAGGCCTTCTCTCACAGTTCTGATAATAAAGCTGGGGCCCAAGAGAGGAACAAACTCTCTTACTAAGTGGGTTGGAGGATGTGAGCTCCTCTGCCACTGATAAAGTGAAACAAATGCAGAGGAGATTGCAGCTGCATATGAAGCAGAAAAGAGCAGCACCCAAACACTGAAGGACACTGTCCTGGCTGTACCTGTATCTCCTTTGTTTCTTATTTCAGCAGGAGACATAATGGGCACAGGCAGAGAAGAGGAAAGATGCAAATGATTTAAAGATAAGACCAGACCTAAACTGTCCTATATGTGTCTGGCCGTGCCACAGCCTGTTTGCATGCACTGGCATATTAAGACTTTTTGTGGTTTCACATCTTATCCCACACAAATTCTAGGCTTTGGGTTTTTTCCTACTTTCTCCCGTATTCTTGACAGCTAACTGCTTTTTTAATACATAAATTGGAGTTTGAGGTGTTCCTTCTCTGCAGAAAAGTCTCATCTCTAGAAACAGTTCTTTGAGTTTAGAACATGATCAACCACTGCATTTTTACTATTGTAAGCATTTTACTTTCATTTAAAATAAAAGTACAGGAAAAGGCATCAGAGGTTCTCTATGTGAATAAGCAGAACAATGTTCTTTTCTACAGGGAGAAGGAGATTACTTAGAGTGAACTTCTGTTTTGTATTTGGCCTGCCAACAAAGCTTCTAAAAATTATTTCCATGTGCATATACAGTTTAATTCAACATTACCATTTTCTCTCTTTATAAAAATCCTTGAATGGAAAAATACTATGGTGGAATTTATCTCAGGAAAGGAATGGCAAGTTTCTCTTTATCTTTGCTGGTAGAGACTTGAACAAAACTAAAACTGACACCATGAACCTGTAAGTGTTGTCAACACAACCTGTGGCTTTGTAGCACCAGCCTTTACAGTTCTCTCTCTGCTTGTTTCACTTTTGCAGAGCAGAGATGAAGGAGCAGTTTCAACATGCAGAGAGCATTCACCATTTGCAGAATGAGATGATTTCTAAGAGATGCTGGTTTCTGCATATGTATCATCCTGCTTTTGGTAAGAAAGCCCTGTTAAAAATTCCCCTCCCCTATGCACCCTGCTGCACCTCCTTGTGCCCCTGCTGCAGTTCCTGCCCCAGCCCTGTGGTGCTGGTGGTGCTGGTGGGGTGGGCACGGGTGGAGGAGACCTGTCTTACCCTGACTTTGCAGCTGAAGGCAGCACATCCAGCATCCCCCAAATGCTCTCACTGTGCTTGTGTTAATGTCCACCTACTGAAGAACATGCACAAATTTAAAAGATTAGCAGTAACACAGAAAAGTATATTGTGAGATAGGATGTGGAGTTTTATGGAGGAAAAGGATTAGTAGATATTGCAAAAAGCTTCTGCAGTAAAAGAAGTGCTGAGATTTTAATAACCTAAGGTATTAAGTTTTTATCTCCATTTTTCTAAAGCTCTGCATCAAGGTTTTTTGGAGGCATAGGGAGGATTTATACACATGCATCATATATTAATGGAACCCTGAAGTCAAGCAGAAACTCCAGGCATCTTGAGACAAGCCAGGCTCAAATTTAGCAGTTCTTCTCACCATATGAGTCCAGCAGGCAGGCACAGGGTCACTGTTCTGTTTTGGCTCCTTCAAATGACAAGGTCAGCTGCATCTGTGTGAGTCCAGCACACACATTTCTCCCTTTGTACAAGTAGAACATTGAAGCTGTTTGCTCTTCTTACTCGTAGAAGTAACACTGTGTCACTGCATGTGAAAGGGGCTTTTCTGCCCTGTTCTGACATGGGACCATGCAGCCAAATGAACAAAAGCTTTTCCTTAACTCTCCCTGGTCACGCTGGCATGGTCAGCCTGTGCCAGCCAGCACATGGGCTCTGACAGGGGAAGGCTGTAAACAGCAGTAAGAGCATGTGAGAATCTCATGGTGGAGATGGCAGGAGCAGGGAAGAGTAAAATATATGTGCAGGAAGCCTAAATCCTTAAATCCCAGTAGACAGACAGAGGTTTCTTGCCTTTTTTCCTAGCCTTATTTTCTCACTAATGATTACACCCTAACTTCCTCTGAAGGAGAAAATAGACCATTCCCTCCTAGGGAATTGATTCCACACCTCCATTTTTTTTTCTTAGTGCATATCACTCCTAACAGCCATGTGTCCAAATCTGACCTTACAGAGAATTATTTTCCACTAGATGGAGCTTGAGTATTTCCTCACCACACATCCCTGCTGCTCCCTGCATCCATGCTCTGTTCAGGAGCAGCAGCATCCAGCAGTGCAGTTATGGCTCTTGGCCTGCACTGTTGGTATCATTCTTGCCAGACCATATCATTAATAATACATTTGTTTTCCTCTGATGAAAAGCACGAATTATTTCTTAGTGGAAAGCCAGAGACCCTACAAGCAAATTCCTTGTGGGAGGATTCCTGAAGTCACACATTTGTTTGCAGAGCAGCATAGTAGCATAGTGTCCTACAGACCATCTGAGTGCTTTTTTTTTTTTTTTTTTTTTTTTTTTTTATGTTATTTCCATTTTATTTCTTTCCTGTTGAATGTGTGTTCTGGCTCTTTGTGGGACTTCATTCAGGCCTGTGGAGATGATGTCATGGCTGTGACATTTTGAAACAGGGCTTGGAGGAGGTCTGTAATGGTGTAGAGAGCTGGTGCCTTTAAGTACATTTTTAGGTGATTTGTCTGATTTCTTCCCAGAATGAACTACATTATGTTACCTAAGGAAGAGAAAGAAAATCAGCAAAAATGCAGAATTCTGTCTGCAAACCCTATAACAGGTGGTGGCATCAGGAACAAGTATATCGATAAAGATGTAGAGAAAGGCTCTTGATATCTTTGATCTTTTAAAAAGAGGATCAGGATTCAGCTATTACATATAACTGTGCCTCTGTTTCATGTCTTGTGCCTCAATCACAAGCATTCCTTTAAATGTATTAGAAGAGAATAAATGCCACTAAATTATCTTCATTTTCAAAAGATTTTAGTAAAAAGCTGCCTGTATTTTCAACATACAGGCATTTTTTTTTTTTCATTTCCATCATGAAAAAAACCCCGAAGAATCTTCAAATCATCTCTGAAGGACAGTTCTAAAATACCAACCTATGCAACGTGCCAATTTGCCTTCTTGCACCATAGTTTGAAAAGACATCTTCACTGGTTTTATTCTTTTGTTTTAAACTGTGCAGATCTTTTATTGGCAGTTCTAACTCTCAGGGATTTTTTTTTTAAGAAAGCAGTAAGATTCTTTGTGTAGTGCCCCTTTTGTTCTCCAAAGGAATGAGTAGCTGTGTTTCATCATAAGATTTAGGTTTTATAGTTTGGGAAAGTAACTTCCAAAATCTGGCTGGAGTCGGTTCTAGTACAGTGCCATTTGATGGCAGAATTTTCTGAATCCACAGAGCTGTAGTGATGATGGTGTGGGCAGAAGGGGCCATGTGGGCTGGTCAGGCTGTGCTGTATATTGGCTCTGGAGGTCAGTCACATAATGGTTCATGTCACTACTAAAATTCATTGCAAATGATTCTAGATAGATATGAAAACTGTTCAGTGAGGGGCTCTGTGAAGACCAGATAATCATTGGTATTTCATTGAAGCCTGATAAGAATGAGAAGTTTAATAGTGTTTCCTGAAAAAAAAAATCTGATTTCCCAGTCCACAAGGAAAAATAAAAATCATCCCTTTCCTTGTATCTTCTGAAAATCAGCAGTAAGCCTACTGGGTAATTTTCTGAGGTTTTAATACTGTGTATGTGCCTTTCTCAACCCACACATATGCTAATTTCCACTGCTTTTATACTGTGTATTCCACTAGCAAAGTCTTTGAGCTCTTTGAATGGGAAAGGAGTTTCTGTTATCGAGGGAGGAGGGAACTACCAGCTGCAGAAAGAATTCAGTGCTAAGGGGAGTAAAGCTTAAGGTGAAGTTGCTGATTTCCTTAGACCTGAGCCTCTATATCTCTGAGGGGATGATATAAATCAGTCTTTTAAACCAGTTCACATAAGTGAAAAGTGGTCCTCTCCTAAGTACTGCTTCCCTAGACAGTTAGGAAAGACTTATTAATCAGTATCTGTATTAAATCTGTGACATACTGAGGGCAAGAGATGCATCTGTAATTTTCAACAATTCTGACTGAATAGCTGGAGCAGGACTGACATCACCTTGCTGGTTCATGTGAGGCTGCACACAATGTAGTATGAATAGACTGAAATGTCTTGGAAATCACAGCAGAGTACTGGTTTAAAAGATTAAGTACTTTTTACTCTCTTAAGTACTGCTTCCCTAGACAGTTAGGAAAGACTTATTAATCAGTATCTGTATTAAATCTGTGACATACTGAGGGCAAGAGATGCATCTGTAATTTTCAACAATTCTGACTGAATAGCTGTATCTGTATTAAATCTGTGACGTAAAACTGAGGGCAAGAGATGCATCTGTAATTTTCAACAATTCTGACTGAATAGCTGGAGCAGGACTGACATCACCTTGCTGGTTCATGTGAGGCTGCACACAATGTAGTATGAATAGACTGAAATGTCTTGGAAATCACAGCAATTCCAATAGGAAGTGGCATAAACATGGGGTGCACTGAGCAAGCAGAATTCCTCAGGCAAACATCACATAGCAATATTATTTCCAGGCTATTTTTTTTAATTGAGATTTTAGCTGTCAGACAATTTATCAACTGAAAAATTCAAGATGTTCTTTAAACTCAAATTTGCTGATCACAATTAAACTCTGTTGAAGAGCTGTTTTCCCTTCTCTTGAACAGGAAAGTTGGAAGCTTGCTCTAGAAATAGCAGTTATTCTGCTACAAGTGAAGATTTTGGCCAAAATGACACCAGTCATCCTTGAAAGCCCAGGCAGGTCTGGGGTCTGACAAGCTGCTCAGCTCTGAGCCTTCCCTAGGCACTGGCCCAGCTCGATGTGGGTGTCAGTTTTCTGCAAAGTGCTTTATTCTGCTCGAGCCCCAAATGATCAGTAAATTGTGCACTGTCTGCCCCCGCAAAGGTGTCCCTGTGAATGGCTCCTGCTGCACTAGCTCCCCCAAAATACTGATTACAGGGATAAACAGTGTATGCTGGGAACTACCCAAAGTGATGGGTGAGCTTTTTTGGAGCCTGCCTCTGTTGCATGATTCGGTAACAAAAGGCATTGCCTTTTTTTCTGCTCTTGTTCTCTGGCTATTTTGAAAGTGTGTTTGGTTTCCAGAGCTAACGGTGACATTGTTTGCTTGTCAGTCAGCTGATTGGCCATTGTACCTTTAAATCAGAGGGATTAAAAGTAATGCTCTCTAACTGTTCTGGAAAAAATGTACCTTTAGAACTGGACTCAGTGGCAGAGAGCAATGCCACTCACTATTGCAGGAGGGCTGCTTGCACAATGGTCTGTGGCTGCAGTGGGGGGAAAGTGTTGACTGGCAGCTGATAATGTAATGATCCAGCTGATATTTGGATGATGCTGTTATAGCTGGTTTGTCAAGGGCACCTGAAGAGTCAGCTATTGCACTGGGAAAGCAATGGAAAAGTTATCCTGTGAGCACTCAGAAATGAATATATCACCATTTCAGGGTCATCTCTGCAGTGTTGCTTTGCATTTCCAAGACTCATTTCTGAAGGGAAAAGCACTTGGATGATATTACTTGACTTTGGACTTCCCAACGGCATCTCAGTGGGTTGGGTGCCAGGTCAAAATTGAGGCTGGCTGTATGATTTAAGTCTCTGTAAGTCCTGTCTGAAAGTTGGGGAGACAAGCACATTTAGGGCTGAAATCAGAAATAGTCGGAGATGTGCTCAAAGGGAGGTAAGAAGTCTGTCACATACCCAGAACACATCCTCCCCGCGGAGCACAGGAGCTGTCAGACACACATCTCCAATCTGACTATTTACAGCATTCTCACACTCCAGGCTTTTTTATTTGTATTCACAGAGAGAAGGGTGCTTCTGCTTCCAAATGAGGCTAGAGCAGGAGAGCAGAAGAGTGTGTACCTAGTGCTCCTTTTTATCTGCCATCTTTCCACCTGCCTGCCTGCAGTAATGATAATGCCCATGGGGATTTGCACCTCTCAGCTGGAGCAGGAGAAGTTCTCAGAGCCCAGGGAGGAGGGGGAGGCTCACCGTTTCAGAAAACACCAGAAATAAAACTGCCCGGCTCAGGGCAGCCCAGATCAGAGACACAGATCTGAAGAGTTAGAAGGAGGGGAGCAATTTACCTGTGAGGATTAAGGTTCCAGCTGCAGGGCAACAGCAGTGCTAAGGATGCATGTGCAAGTCAGAGAGAGTAGCCAAAGCCACAGAGCAGGTTCTTGGGCGCCAGGCTGTGTTTCTTCAAAGGCTGCCATCTCCTCCGGAGGGGAGCACTTCATCTCGCCGTCCGTGAGTTCGTTTGTCAGCTGCCTTCACACCCAGCCCGCCCACGCTCTGCAGTGACTTTCTGAACCCTCTGATGCTCCTGTGCTCAAATGTATTTCCTTATTATTTTCCCCTGAGATAAATCTCTCATGTCACTGCACTTCAGGCTATGCTCTAAGTTGTTTTTTTATTCTGTTACTCTCTGTAAGTGCTGGTGTATAACTGAGCTGTCACAAGAACAAATCAGCAAAATAATTGCCTCTGACGGGGTGTTCACATCATGTAACTGCCAGTGTCTGGCACAGATATTCAAACTAGCCAGAGAAACTTCTCTGAATCACAGAAAGGCTTTGATTTTTGAATGTGTTGTAGGTCTGAGTGTTAACTGCCCACCTTGCCTCACCCTGACGGTCCCACTCCTAGCCCACCCCACCCCCCAGTTTAGAGGCAGCCTTTACATTGCCATCATGTCCAACTTGGAATATTAATTGATCTGTGAAAGATTGAGAAAAAGCCACAGCTGCCTCAAAACAGGTCTCCCCATATTCACAACCCATAGTTCTTCTTAGTGGCTCCAATTCACACTCAGGGATGGAGTTAAGGATCTGATTTAGGGGTGGGGCTGGTTGAGCCCAGGATGGTTGGTGGGGTTACTGCAGGGGCTTGTCTATTCCCTCATGCTCTCTGGAAGCTGGCTTGGTTGTGGCTGAGCTCCAGCTCACCTTCAGTCTCAGCACTGCAAAGCCAGGCAGAACTGATAATACCAAGGAAGAGATGAGAAACTGCACTTCTCACATGGGCATCTTACTTAGGTGTACAAAAACAGGCTGCTTACATGCTGGATTGTAATTTATCCTGTTCTCCCTTAATTTTGATCTTAGAAGGAACAAATACTAAATTTTATTTTGAAGTGTGTTCAAGTATTTAATGATGCAATTAGGAAATGCAATTTGAAAGTCAGACTAATCGCCTGTCTACACCATTAGCCATTTAAATAGTTTTAAAAAATCTATCCCTTTAGTACTTGACCCTGTTTCATAGAGCAACTTCTCCTACTTGTTCACCCAGCCAGTTGCAAAAACAAGTGAGTGGCACGGTGGAGGGGAATCTGCCTTTAAGAAAAGCAGTCTTGGGGTTTCTTCCTCCTCCCATTTTATCTGCATTCTCACTCCTCCCCTTGCAGACAGATTGACACCAGCCATGAGCACGGGAATTACCTGGCAGTGGAATAGGGAGGCTGGCTGTCCTGGAAGTGGTGGTGCAGAAATTCAGGAAATTGAAAGCCCTGAAGTTGCTTTGACTCCCACATAGCCAAGATCATTTTCAAAATCACAGACCCACAGAATACTGACAACCACAATGTCCAAATATACTGAAACCAACACCAGAGTACAAGGAGGGCTCCCTGAATGTGTCCCTCATTCTTAGTCTCTTTCCCTAATCTGCTACTGACTATTTTGGAAGACTGATTCAGGCCAGCTGTTTATATGTATGTATTTATACACAGAAAAATTTTCATCTGTGATTGTTTTATGGCTATGCCTGTTAGAGTCAAGAAAGCTATCAACTTCAGAAAATATTTATTAAAGATTTTAAATTAGCAATTTGGTTTAGATTGCATAAACTTTATTAATAGCATATATTGATGAAGAGAGAATTGCACCCAAGAGTCATGTATGAAGACATGTAATTTCAGAGTAGCTCAATATTTGTTCTTAATACCATATATAGAGATATGTCAGGATTTTTTATGTTCATAGGTAGACTAGTACTAGAAAACTGCAAGCTACTAGCTAATTATCACTGTTATTAAATGTCTATCTTAGTGCAGAATACAGCTTATGAGCTTTAAAGCTTACACTAATCAAGAAGCATGATCAACTGGTGATGTAGGTCACTTACAGCTCAGCTGATACGTAGCTGCTCCTCACTGATGTTACTGCTTAAACATATTGATGAAATAAAATGTTACAGTTCCATGATATGAAGTAAGGGAATAATTACATTTTGATTATTAGGGAGTCAGTCGCCAGTCCCATTTGCACAAACACTCAAGCTGATAAAAGAACAGAAAACTAAATGGATTCAGTAATACAACATCTGAATTGCATCAGTTGTAAAAAGCATTGGAGCTTCCATGTAAGTCTTCATTGCTGTAATATTGTTATTTTAACCACAATTATGGTTAAACATTGCAGAGGTACTTAGAGGCATGTGGTCATTGGGCTGTGGGCTATTGAGAGGGAATTTGTCTAAATCTCTCCTTTGTTTATGTAATGCAGAGATGGTCCAACAGGTTTTTTGAAAACAGACCTGAACGCACATCTCAAGTGCATGTCCTGACCACAATGTGATGTAAACCAGTAATTACTTTCTTCATTCCCTGCAAAACTGTTTCAGTTGGCAGGCTGCATCCCACAGGACACTGTTGATAGTCAGAGCTTTCTCCTAGAAGAGAAGTGATGCAGATTAGCATCTGCATTTCACTCCTGGCTTGGGTTGCTCTCTTCACTTGGTTTCTAAGGATATTTCCTGCAAAGTGCCTTAACATGCTTAGAAGAAACACCTTGTATTGATGTTTGGAAATGACTAAGAAAGAAATCAGAGTATGTCAGCAATTCTAGAATAACTCTGCATCCTGTCAGCTACTGAGCTACTAATTCCTTCTTGCACTGATGTTTGGGGAACGCAACTTCAGTATTTTTACGTATTCATCATATTTTAAGAACTTTTGCCTTAGAAGTTTAGAAACCTTTGTGCATGTTAAACTGTCTTGCTGGTACTTATGGCTTGGTTCTCCTTTCATTCATGCTGGTGTAACTGAGGAGTGGTTTGGTGAGAGGGGATGGAGATCAGCACAGCACTGCTGATTCATAGCCATGGTTCATAGTTCATAGTGACTGCAGCTCTTGGCCAGTAGAGTTACACCAAGGTAAGGCACTACAACTCAGTCCTTGAATTCAATGCCATAACTGACATCAAAATGCTTACAGCTGGAGGCAAGTTGCCCGTGGCTGTGACGTCTAGGGCTGATTAGCAGAAGTATTGAAGGAGAATATTCAGGAAGAATTAAAAAGATTGAGCGTTTATTAAAGCTTAGGAAGTCATTCACACTCTTTCCTTAGCTTACTTGGATATGTATTTTAATATTGTCTCCTTTCAAGTTTAAGTAACATTGAGGTCAAAAACCAAAGCAGTAAAACCAAGATAGTTCACAGTTCATGGTGACAATTGTCCTTAACTCAGTCAGAACAGGAAAGGAGCCTTCGTGATACAGCAGAGGACTCTAAGGGCACAGCAGCAAACTGAACTCATGTTTCGCCTCTGGCAGCATACAGTACAAGTGTAAAACAACTTAACTAACTTGGTTTCAGTTGACAAACAGTATGGGTGAACAAATGCCTGAAATGGCTGCTAGGCATACAGCCAGCTTTTATTCTTTGCTTATTCTGGACTTGCATTTATGAAATAACTTGCCCAGGGATAAAGAAACTTGTGAAGGCTTGGTTTGCCATTCCTTGTGCTTACTAGTAGATGATTTTCGATGGAGTGCAGTGAATACTGGGTTAGACCCAAAACTAATTAATTTTCCAATAGCTTTTTCTAGAAGTTATTTTTAGTTTATCCTGACCTAGCTGCATTGTCATTTTGTTAAGAGCACATTGGTAATGTAATTCAATCGGATGTACTACTACACACAAGAATCCATAAAGCAACATCTTGTGTAACAAGACAGATGTAACAGGAGTTATCAGGTAGGAGTTAACATTTCCATCAGCTCATGGTGGAGATTCTGTGCAACATTAAACAATCATGGTTTACAAGTTGAAACAATCCATCAATGTGAAACTAAATAGTCACCAATGATGGTAAACCTTAACTCTTGCTTTTAGCTGTCTCTGGTGTAAGAGTACATCTCTGTGTAGGTGAACACTGTTCCATTTTCCAAGCCTCTGCACCAGGAGATTTGCAAAGCAGTGGCTGCCCAAACTTCTTACTATGAGGCAAAGCCTTCTCTTTTTCCCAGCTCCATTCTTGTAATTGGCTGCAGTTGTTTACAGATAGCTCTTTTTTCCCCCCACAGAACTTGGCCTGTTGCTGATCCCAGTCCATAAAAGTCACAGCAAAAAGTTCAGAGGGGAAAATTTGGCCTCACTTCTTCAGACAATTTGTTAAGCCACAATTTTCCAATCCAACTGCCTAGACACAGCTCTCTAACATGTGTCCTTTGAAGCCACCTGCAAGGATTTAAGAAGCAATTGCCTACGTGTTGACATGGCCTTTCTGACAGCATTCACCACACGTCAAGGAGGGTGTGAGCCCCTAATTCAGAGGCTCCAGTTCCTGCTGTCATACCTACATATGTAATCTAAATTGATGATTTCTTTAGGATCAGCAGTGGGAACAACAGAGCTTGAAGTTAAGCATCTACTTGAAGTCGTGTGTAATGCCAAACTGGCACCTTAAATCTGCACTCAGGCCTCTTAACATAAAGCTGAGTGTCTTGGCAAGCTTAAGTCCACATTAATTATAAATCCTGGTGACACAACCCATTTAAGAAGAACAGTAAGAGCTGAAGCTTCCTTAAGTGGAAGCAATCTGCTTTGCTGTGTTTCAGTGTAGCCAGAATACTTGGAAGATCTTTTTATTTTATTCTGTGCTCTCTCTCATTATCAGAGTTTTCAAAAGCAGTATGGTTCAGTCAATACTGTTTTAACTAGCTTTTTCCTTTATCTGGTTAGTCATTTCAAGAGCTATCTACTTGCTTAGGGAAGTCTGTATGTTTTGATTTTATTTTTATTCTGAATGACTGCAGTCATCTGGCTGTTTATGTGAATGATTAAAGTCTTTAAAAGCTCTGATTGATTTTTTTACTCTCTTGGTCGTGTTACATTCCAGATTTCTGCAAATGCAGAAATACTTATGTCATTCTGTAAAAGCAAAGCCTGTTAACAAACAGCAAATAAACAAAACTGGACTTCTATTATAATGGCAGTCTAATGAGCCGAGTAATTTGAGTGGTATAAATAAGGAATGGCCAGAAGCAAGGGAGGCTGTAAGAGAGTCCATTGTAAGAGGAGACTGGGTTTACTAAAGCCTTTCAGTAGAGTGATTATTTCATAAAGAGCCTTATAAGCAAGGGTCTGGGGCTGGAGCCTGCTCGTAGCTCTGTATTGCTGATGACAGGGTAACAGTGTTAGCAGGATCTGGTTCTCTTGAGTTCCAGTGGAGTTGGAGGGGAATCTGAATTGATGATCCAATATGATGCATTTGATATATGTACATACAACAGATTTTGAAGCATCACAGTATAGGAAATATCCAGGCATAGGCCCTGGAAATAACACTAAGGTGCAATAACAGATGAGCAGGACACTTTAGTGATTATCATCAATTGTTTCAAGAAAATGAGTGTATCTCTCTCCACAGTGCCAAGTCCTTTACAGACATATTGCTGGACAGAGAAGTGTTTCTATTACCTCAGCTTTCAGACCTGGTTTATGGATATCTTTAAGAGAGCTTCTTTCTTGCACAAATCCTGCCAAGGTTTGGTTATATCCAGGTCTTCTATTTGTATAAGGTGAGCTGAAGATGTATTGGTAAAGAGAAATCCTTGCTATCCCCACGTGAGCTCTTCCTTAGCCAATATTAAACATTTTCCCAGTGTACTGGCTGCCAACAAGTGGCATAGGATACTGTAACTACTTTTCATTCCTGTCTCAGTTGCCTATAATTTTTGACTCTGCTTACTTACGGCTGTGTCGAAAGAAGATGGTGTAAATCTGAGAGTTTTAGCTCTTCCATCCTTCTGTTCAGTATTCAGGTTTTAAAATTACTATAAGCTCATGCCTATAAAAATGTCCTTGTTTCCATCACCTGTGTTTGGCTACCAGGCTACATACTGGAATTTATAGATATTGTGCAGCTTACAGATGCTCTGTGGAGATTTTTGAGGAACTGTGTTCTCCTTAGGCTTTGAAACTGAGACCATATTTGAGAGAAAATGGTGTTCAGGGAACAGAGAAAAAGAACAGGATGAGCAAATGTAATTTCTTATGAGTATAATGGGTGGAATTTTAAAGCCATTCAAAAATGGCTGGAAGAGACTCCTGAGTTATTTCAGGCACTGCAGAGTAAATGTTCAGCCCCATTTGTACAATCTATGGTGATAAGAACAGAGATTCATCACCTCAGTTCCAAGGTATTGGTTGATGCCAGTAAGATTAAATTAGTTTTTCAGGCTGCCAGGAATCATTGAGTGCTAGTGAGAATGGTCCTCAGAGAAGGACTACTGAATGGCAAACTTACAGCCAGTGTCTCTGGGTTTTGCATTCCCCCAAACCTGAATGTTGTGTCATCCTCTTCTATTTAGATGCCGAATGGCACTAAGCAATGGTCTCTGCAGTGTGCAGGGAGTGGTTTGTCCTTGCACAGCATTTCTGAGTTCTCAGAAATTTCCAGAGATCTCTGGGGACCTTGTTGGGCCAAGCAGACACTCATCAGTGCTTTTACAAAAATACAAATGACAGGCACTGTGCTTTAAACTGAAGAAAAGGTCTTGTAATATCCTTCAGATATTTGTAGTAAGGATCTGAAACTGTAGCTTGAGAAATGCTGATAAAGCTTATTAGTCCAGTTTATAATACAGAAATATTTGTGCTTTACAAATACTGACCACTCTTCTCTGGACTGGTTCAGCTTGCTTTTTATTATATTTTGAATTTGTGTCATGTCGAGATTTTCCCTATAGCAGGTGCAGATGAGCATGAAAACTGAAGCAGAAAGTAGCAGTGTGCTGCTTGGGGAAATGGCAAGTGACTCTATAATTTACTCAGTGGTGTGTTTCTCCTTATAATTATTGCTAATTCAAAAAAAATCACTGTGAATTGCATGGCAGCATTGTGTAAAATGTGTGTAGAGATAAAACATGAATACAACCTGTGCCTTGTAGGCTGACAAATGAAGTATAAGGTGCTATTGTTTGTTTACTGACTGCCTAAGCATGAGATGAACGATTATCTCTGCCTCGAGAGGCAGCCCAAGGTTTCCAGTGGCATCAATCTTCCTGTTTGTGATTCATTTGTGCAAACACTAGAAAGCTGAGCATGTAACTCAAGCGATTACCCAATTACTTCTCTTCCCCTTGAAAATAACATTGTTTCTCTACTCCCTTTTGAAACTCAGGATTGCACTGGAGCAAGACTGGGATGGTGAGCCTGCTCCTGGACATGACAAGGCAGGTCCAGACTCACAGTCCTGCCTGCAAATCTCCTCACTGGGAAGTGCTCCTGCCCAGCAGCAAGATGTTTCTAATGAACTCACAGGGAGTGGGAGGAGGAGCTGGATTCACCCAGGTGCATCCAGGACTGCTGAGATATGGGAGCAATCTCTTGCCCCTCCCTGGAGCAGGCTGCACCTCTGTCAGTGTCAGGAGGCTGCAGGCCAGGGCTGGTTTTAGGGTGTGGCATCCTTTTTGTGGTTCCTGTGCAGAGGTGTGAGGAAGCTGCAGGGGGAGGGTTCCCCAGCTGGCTGACAGCAGGATGTGAAATAGGTGGAGTCCTGGGCCTGCTCTGTGCTCTCCATGGCCCAGCTAACAGCAAACTCAAATGGGCAAGCTGGCCTGGGCAGTAAAAACCAGGTTAATTAGTTAGGTGTGAGCCTGATGACTGAGTCCTTTTCCAACCCCAGTCTAGCCAGGACACGTAACACTGTTTTCCCACACCAAGCATTTGAGGGTTTGGCCTTCACTGGTGCTTCTTTCTTTCTGGTTTTGATCTGTAATACTTCATTCATTCCACTTTTGGCCATCTGATTCCCCACAAAGCACTGCTTGTCTGCAAACCAGCTGGAGGAGCAAACTTGAAAACAAACAAGATCCCAGTGAAAATTGTACAAAGCTTAATCCATTTAGTGGATTAACACAGAAGTCAAGTGGTGACTAGACAGTGGTTTTTAAATATTTACATAACTAAGATATCTGATGGTATTGGACTCTGAAATTCAGTGGATGCCTTAGATTAGGGATCAAGGCTTGCCTCCATTTGGGATTGAACACTGTAGCAGCTTCATAAGGGAGGGCTAGGCTGCTTCTCATTTGAAATCATTATGTAAATAATCGTTAGTTTGGGTTTTCTAAATTAAGTACTAAAAATACCTAGTTTCACTAAAAAGTAAAGTCTGCATATGGGACATACCTCCCTGGCCTGCAGGAGGAGAAAGTTTAGACTAATAGCCTGTGAAACTACACTACCATTAACCACTAGAATAAATGTTTTAAAATTAACTTGGCAGTTCACCAGCAGCTTTTGAAGAGAGCACTAAAATGTGAATTGTGGAAATGTAATGAAAGCAACCCCATGACAGGACTCAGAGTCTTAATCTCCCAACTCACCAGGCCATTGCAGACCCTGGAGAAAAACCAGAATCACCTCTTGGTGTGTGAGAAGTACCTCAGAAGGGCACTTCTGTGTAGCAGATGTGCTTGCTTGGAGCAAATAAAACACCAGTGACTTAAAAATGCACTCTGCATTGTCTACATCAAGTGTTGTTAACATTTTTCAGACCCACCTTTCCCATAAGGCATGGGGATTAATTGTCCCTCAGGAAATGCACTGTTGGCACAGCCAGCACACAGCCCTATGGACTAATTAGGAACAGAAACTGCAAACAAACACAAATCATTATTTGACCATACTAGCTTTCTTCTGGAACTCAGTTTGGGTGCTAAAATAATGTGCACCCCATTAACTTCAGTCGTGAATGCTCCTGGTTTGCCCAGACCTTATTTGTGTAGCTGAGTGCCTGCAGAAGCATTACTGGAACCTGATGATGATGAAAGAGGTTCATTCCCATGGATTTGTTGGAACTGATCTCCCAGATGGTTGACTCTGTCTATCTACACACCATTTCCTTTCTTTCTTTGCTCCAATTCACCGTTGTTCAGCTTTTGCCAAAACTGGAAAAGAAAAAAAAGAGAAAAAAAAGACAAAAAGACAAAATTTTCTGCAGGAAATAGGGATCTCCTGAGGGAGTTTTTTTCTTTTTCATATAACTCCTAACCTAGCAGCATCACTGCATTGCTATCAGAGTGGAAATGTATACAGCACAGGCTGCAGCCTCAGCTATCTGATCTTATATAGCACAGTCTACCCGTGTACCAATTTGTAACACGTCCAAAGCCT